TCCCCGTCTTCCTCCCCCTGCAGCAGCCGCGCTCGCTTCCTCCTTCTTCCCCTCCCTCTCTCCTCCCCCTCGCCGCTGCCACCGCCACTGCCTCCCTCCTCCCGTCCAGTTCAGCTCTCGCCCCACCACACGCCCTCGGGCCACGACTACTCCTCCTCGCCTCCTTCCCTTTTCTGCCTCTGGCACTCCCCTCACCCGTCCACCATTCACACCTCCCACCCTCCGCGGCTTCGGCTCTCCCTCCTCCTCCCTCCTCCGGCTCAGTCTCCGCCTCCTTCCTCCTCCTCCCTGGCCTGCCTTGTCTTCTGCACTCGGAGCCTGCACGCGTGCACAGCCACCCTCCTTCACAACCGTGTACAGAATTCGCCCCCTTGGTGAAGGCCTGTTGACTGGCTCCGCCTCCCGCGACCTGGTTCTCCAGGGCACTTCTTTCTATACTGGACACATAGTAGGCACTTAGCCGGCCCGCCCTAACTACTTGTGCAGCGAATAAGCCTTTCTAGTAATGAGCAGCTTGGCTTTGGGGTGTGTGCTGGGTATGGCCGGCTCCTCTTCGCGATTCCTACTTTCTGCCACGACTCATGCAAGACCAGAAAGGCATCTTCTCTCCCCTTTCTAGCCACAGCCCCACTCCACACTTCGGTGCCTAGGACAGGGGCTTCTTTTCCCTGCTCCTCCCCCTCCTGCTCTGATCCAGTATTTTCTCTCTACCTCTTGCCACACAGACCACCCCTGCCACGCCCTCTCCCTCCCCCACTTCTCCCCTTTCTCCTGACAGGCCTTCAATGGTAGGCCAGTGGGAGGAAGAGAGGCTTCCCCGACCTCTTTCCCTCCCCCTCTTTCCCCCTTCCCCCTCCTGAGAGCAGTTGCTTCCTAACCTATGCGTGGAAAAGCCAGCCAGGACTATATGAGTGTGGAGGAGCAGCTCTAAGCCCAAAACCTGGATGAGGGCAACTGACTGAAATAAAATCCCCTCTTCCTACCTGCTGCTTTTTACCCATCGGCTGTTTGCTTTTCTTGAAACAAGGGACAGTAAAAGGACCTTCTCAGGACCTACCTCATGTTGATTTAATATTTATTGAAGACTCACGATGAGTTAGAAGAATATCCAGAAAAACACAGTTAGGCACCTTGCCTAGGAAACACTTTTGGATGTTGGCTGCAAGCCAGGCTCAAAACATAAAATGCAATCTACTGTATTATCAGGCCATCGCCCTCCCGTTTTTTCCAAGTCTGATTTTCCTAACAAGTACAGTCAGGTAGCCTTGTGTGGCTCCAAGTTTTGTACAACATCTACCATAGGCCTGATGTTCTCCAAGTGTCAGAGGCGTTAGAACCAGAGCGACTCCATCTTGAATAGGGGCTGGGTAAAATGAGGCTGAGACCTACTGAGCTGCATTCCCAAAAAGTCAGGTATTCCGAGTCACAGGATGAGACAGGAGGTCGGTCGGCACAAGATTATAGGTCACAAAGACCTTGCCGATAAAACAGGATGCAGTAAAGAAGCCAGCCAAACCCCACTAAAATCAAAATGGTGATGAAAGTTACCTCTGGTCGTCCTCACTGCTCATTATATGCAAATTATAACGCATTAGCATGCTAAAAGTCACTCCCACCAGCGTCCAGAAGTTACTCTATATGGTCTGAAAGGGGGAGGAACCCTCAGTTCCAAGAATTGCCCACCCCATCCCGGAAAACTCATGAATAATCCACCCCTTGTTTAGCATATAATCAAAAAATAACCCTAAGAATTATCTGTGGAGTAGCCATTCTTTATTCCTTTACTTTCTTAATAGACTTGCTTTGACTTTACTCCGAATTCTTTCTTGCCCCGAATTATTGCTCGAGGTCCAAGAATCCTCTCTTGGAGTCTTCATCCAGACCCCTTTCCGGTAATACAAGTGCCAATTAATAAAGAACAGCAACAAACAAGTCTTAATTCAGAGGCTCACTAGTTCATTCTCCTTAGTTGTTTTGTTAAATCCTCAGCAACATAACCAAGGAACATTAAGGACAAAGCTGTGGAGCACCTAGCAATGGAATATAGCATCCCAAGACCTCAAGTTGCTATCTTCAAGGAAGCAAGAATGAGGGCATAGCACTTAGCCAATGGCTTCAGTAATCCCTCCAATTTCCACCTGAGCTTCTGTTGGGAATTTGGCCTAGACTGTCCTGAGTTTGCAGCAATGACTATGGTTAATAATGACTGTAGCCAGGCCAGTTTTCTATATTGAGCCATAAATTCCTTTTTCACAGGCATGTTGAAGAAAAACGCCAAACTCTGTAAAATATCTGAGGAGATTTATTCTGCACCAAATGTGAGGACCATGACATGTGACACAGCCTCAGAAGGTCCTGAGATCCTATGCCCAAGGTGATTGGGTTACAGCTTGGTTTTATACATTTTAGAGAGACAGGAGTTACAGGCAAAGATATAAATCAATACATGTAAGGTATACATTGGTCTTAGCCTGGAAAGGCAGGACATCTCAGGTGGTTGGGGGGAGCTCACAGTCATAGGTGGATTCAAAGATTTTCTGACTAGCAATTGGTTGAAAAAGTTAAGTTTTATCCAAAGAGTTGAAGTCAGCAGAAACAAATGCTTGAGTTAAGATAAAAGTTGTTGTGGAAGCCAAGATTCTTGCTACATAGATGAAGCCGACAGGTAGCAATCTTCAGAGAGAATAGATGTAAAATCTCTTATTGGACCTTAAAAGGTGTCTGACTCTTAGTTAAATCTCTCCTGGATCATGAAAGGACCTGGAAAGGGAAGGAGATTCTCTACAGAATGTACATTTTCTCCACAAGAGATAACTTTGCAAGGCCATTTCAAAATATGTCAAAGAAATGTTTTTTGGGGTAAAATACTTTGATTGCCTTCAGGGCCTGCTTTCTGTCATGTGGTGCTATACCAGGGTCAGGTTAGAATTTGGTATCTTATTGTCACGAAAAGTCTGTTTTGTCAGTCTTATGATCTCTATTTTAATGTTAATGCTGATCAATTGTGCATAAACTCCAAAGAGAGGGGATATAATGAAGAATGTCCTCGAGGTTTTTTGAACATGGGAAATTCTGTGATGGTTTCTGTCAAGGTTTCTAATGATTTTTTATTGTGGTAAAATATAAAATTTGTCGTTTTAACTATTTTTTTCTTTTCTTTTTTTCTTTTTCTTTTTTTTCTTTTTTTTTTTTTTTCTTTTTTTTTTGAGATGGAGTCTCGCTCTATTGCCCAGGCCAAAGTGCAGTGGTGCCATCTCGGCTCACTGCAACCTCTGCCTCCTGTGTTCAAGCAATTCTCCTGCCTCAGCCTCCCAAGTAGCTGGGACTACAGGCATGCACCATGCCCAGCTAATTTTTGAATTTTCAGTAGAAACAGTGTTTCGCCATGTTGGCCAGGCTGGTCTCAAACTCCTGGCCTGAAGTGATCCACCCACCTCATCCTTCCAAAGTGCTAGGATTACAAGCGTGAACCACCGCACGCAGTTGTTTTCGTGATTTTTTAATTGTGCAATTTAATGACTTCAATCACATTCACAATGTGCAACCGTCACTACTCTATTTCTGAAAGTTTTCATCACCCCAAATAGAAATCCTATACCCATTAAGCAATTTAAAAAAAAAAAATCCAACCTCCATGAGATGGAGTCTTACTCTATCCCCCAGACAGGAGTACAGTGGTGCAATCTCGGCTCACTATAACCTCCGCCTCCTGGGTTCAAGTGATTCTCCTGCCTCAGCCTCCTGAGTAGGTGGGACTACTGGCGTGTGCCACCATGTCCTGCTAATTTTTGTATTTTTAGTAGGGACTGGGTTTCACCATGTTGGCCGGGCTGGTCTTGAACTCCTGACCTCAGGTAATCTACCTGCCTCAGCCTCCCAAACTGCTGAGATTACAGGCATGAGCCACTGCACCTGGTCAGCCTGAGCTAGTTTTTCAAACTTTCTTTCCAGATCCCCTTAGCCAAGGTAGGGGGGTGTGTGTTGGGGGTGTGTCTGTTCAGTCATTTAGGGGGGCTTAAAATTTTATTCTGGGTTTACAAGTAGAATAACAAAGTGTTTTTAGGATACGGATTCTAATCTAACCCCATTTATATTATTTACTTGCTGTGTCACCTTGGACAATTTACTCAACCTCCCTGTGCCTCAATTGCCTCATCTATTAATTGAAAGATACTATTATCAAATCTATGAGGTTATGCACAGTCAAATGAGCTGAATGTTGGGGACCATAAGGTAGTGTCTGGTGCATAGAGAATGTTCCCTAAGTGCTCCCTATTATTACCCATCCCTGCATTTGCATGTGTACACACACGCAAGCACGTGCATGCACACACAACCTCAAATTCAGTGCCCTCCCCCGCATCTGCATAAACAATCCTACCTTCCTTCAAAGCCCACGTAAAATTTCACTCCCCTCAATCCCCCTCCCTCTGCTCCCGGAGCTCGCTCCCTCCTCTGAACTTGTACAGCATTTATTGCCTGCACTACTCATTTTATTCTGAATCACATACTGCCTTC